AGGAGGCAGCCTGGGTCTCGGGGTGAACGCTGCGCGCTGGGCTAGGGAAGGCGCAGGTCTGGTGTTTGGGTGACGAGCAGGTAGACGGACTCCTCCCTGCTGAAGGTCCAGCGCCTGCTGCAGAGATGCAGGCAACCTGTTTGCTCTGTGCAGCGCCCGCCCTGGCTGTGGAGAAGGTAGAGAGGCGCTTGCGGAAGAGACCGCTGCCTGGAGGACACTGCCGAGGGTGTTACTCGCATACCGTGAAGGTTCAGAGAGCGAGTAAAAGAGAACAGGGATGCTGAGCAGGTGCAAAGCAGACAGTGATGCGAAGGGGACCCCCAAGGGAACGCGGGCATTGAGGAAACGTGACAGATGTTGAGCAGGTGCGGAGCAGATAATGAGCAGGCCCAGATGCGGACGCTAAACAGATTCAGGTGCAGAAGCTGAGCAGATGCAGATGCAAAGACAGAGACTGAGCAGACATGAACCCGAAGCAGACTGCAGATGCTGAGCACATGTAGGCACAAGCAATCCTTTCGGTCTGTGCTTAGGATTCCTTAGGATCGGAAAATGTTGGTGGGCATGCAGTCATACCACCATCCAGGGTGTCCTCCCGTGGTGCAGTGCAGTCTTGGGGACACGATTTGAACGCCAGCAGTTCTGGGGAGGAGCTGTGACTTGGTGCAGGCAGCCTCCGAATGCAGTTACTCTGCCAGGTTTATGTTAATCTTGACATATGATGAGCTGGAATAAGAGCTACAATGTGGTAATGCAACAAATTTCACTTAATCTCTCGCAGACTGCACTCCATATGGTTATCTGATTAGCTCTTAGCTCAGGAGAGACCAAGACTCCAAGGAACAGAAAGTGCACAGTATATAAGCAGCTTAGCTGTATTTCAGCATTTTTGACTTACTGAAATGTCGTTTGGGAAATTCTAAAAATATATGGGGAAACCTAGTGTCTGCACAAAATAGTACAGCCACACTATGAACTGGTGTGTTTTGGGGAAGGAAACTGGGAAAGCACAACAGTGGGAAATGAAGTCAGAGGAGTGGATTTGGATAAAGTAGAGGGGAAAGAGGAATGAAGAGATGTGGTGCATGAGAAGGAGCAGTGAGGAGGGACTGTGGGTTGGGGAAAATTCACAGGGAAATGAATGAACCTCTCCCATGTCCCCGTAGGACACTGGGGCAAGGTGCTGAGCAGCGTATTCAAAAGACCAAGGAGTGTTGAGATTGAATTCCTGGGAATGGGCAGTGTAGATGCCACCACCCAGAGAAAGAGGAAACTTTGGAATTGGGTCACGCTGGGAGAGACTAGCTCCAGACAGGCCGTGGTGTCAAGAGACGCGCTTCTTTTGAAACCTGGGGAGTTTCATCGCTTACACCATGGCTGATTTTGGCCCCGTGTCTTCAGAAGTGGCTGATGTTCAACTTTCCCATGACTCTGTCACTGTGCCAGGTGGTGATCTCAGAGCACGCTCTGAGCCAAAGCCAGTCTCCTCTGGGGGGGAAGGGGAGGACTGCTCCATTGAGGGAACTGCGCGGATGATACAGACGAGTCTGAAATGTGTGCGCATGCACGCTCATGCACATGAACTGTTCTAGCTCCAAACTATTAGTCAAGCAGCTCGTTGGCTCAGAGAACTCATCCTTCTCAAGGAATTGAGGCCCAAAAGTGAGGAGAGCTGAGGAGCAAAAATAGCAGCGGGGAGAGCCCCATCGTTCTAGGAAGGAAGGATGTTCAGGACCAGGTTCCCCATCCCTGCTCTGAACTGTTTGGTGACTTACGGAATGGTCTTTCTGCTGTGCCTCCAGGGCAAGTTGCCTGAATTATAAGCGACTGACTTTCAGAGAATAACTCACTCTTGACTGGCCATTCACTTCAGGGATCTCTTAGAACTCATGGGGCTTCAGACGCCCTTAAGCACTGAGGGGGAGTGAGCGAGCGGCTGCGTGGTGCTTAGTTGCTGGCTGGGGCTAAACCACGACACTTGGTTAGATTCAAGCTCCAAGAGCATCTGCAATGCTCCTGCAAATGGCTTTGCTTACCTTCCTGAGGAAAAACAGGTGCCATTTTCCAAGCCAGCTTGAGAGACAAGGCAACTAAAGCCTGGTCGCTGGGGTCAAGTATCTCTTCTCTCTAAATCTGCCACCCACAGAGTTCCAGAAGGATCAAAGGATCAATTTTTTCTTCAAAGTTACGCTGCTTTGGCATGAAACACCTTGAATTACCAGTGGTATAATATGGAGCGAGGCAATACCTGCTCACAGACAGCCTGCCCTTGACATCAAACTCTAACCACACAGCCATCAGCCCTCTTGGGGCTTGCCAGAAACAGCAGCTGTGTAGGATCGGCAGCATGTGGAGAACCCGCACCTCGCTGAGAGCAGTGGTAGGAACAGGGAAGCTCCCAGAAGAACCTGCTCCCTGTATCACATTGTCCACGCTGAGAGGCTACTGGTCTCATGGTTTGTGCAGTCAACAGCTCTGGGCTGTCTGGGCTCCACAGTAATAGCAGGGTCCGATCGTGAGGATACGTCCTGTTGTGTCATACACAGACTGGCATGGGTGCACAGGGTGTCACAGATTCCCTGTCTCCAGGCTTGGTTACAGCCACTGCATGTTGTGGACTGGAAGAGTTTGCAGGAATATTGCCTCCAGGCTTTGTTCCGTGCTTAGTAGGTGGACACATCCGGATTCCAGTGTGATTAACACACCTGAGCTGGCACTGAAGTTCCCTGAAAAATCACCTCGCCTTCTTTGCCTGTGACCTCTTGCAAAAAGTACTTTGCTCCAAAGCAGTCAGCTTCCTGGGAGTGAGACCTGTATCTTGGACACCCTGCTGTAAGAAGCAGGCTCCAACTTCATGGTGTTCAGAGTGAAACACAGAACGCAGCTCCATCTCCCTATCACAGAGGGCTTGTGCCCAGGGTACGAGGGGAACACAAAACTTCTTAGGGAAAGGAAGATAGCTATTACCATCTCCACTAGGAACATCTCCCAAGACACCAGCACTTTGCTGGTGAAGTAAGTAGGCAGAAGGCAATGTGAGGACAGCAGGCAAAATACAGTAGATACAGTCTTATCAGCATGGCTGCCTAACGTAGCCAGAAATCTTAAGGAGATGATAAACAATAAATTATTTTGTCTCTCATCTGCTCTGTGCTATAGGACCAGATCTGCAGTCTCTAAATAGATTGTCAGATGAAGCACTACTGTTGGAAACGGATACTGGACTAGACTGACCACTGGTCTGATCTAGAAAGGCATTTCTGATGATTACGGGGACACCCCTCATGGACAGGCAGTCAGGTCTGAAATGGAAGGACAGGCTGTTAACAGCACTATTAATAGGGCTAGGAGTGCAAAACAGCTTAAGGGGTTATTAAAACACAGTATCTGCCTAGGTCTAGGACACAGAACAGTTATCAGTGTTGGACTTCAGCCAGGAAGATGCCTTTGGGCATTTAATGAGATCAGAGCTTGGGTTTTCTGCTGTGCTTTTTCTGTGGCATAAAACCTAGAACTGGTCACAGTGTCCTCACAGTGGGTGTCGTCGTGTGGCTCAGTGTACTCTTTGCACTGCCGGGTTGTTGGGCTGAGCATATCAGCTCATGGCTGCAACTGAGTCTGGTCACCTGGGATTACTGAACATCCATCTCTTCAATAGCAGCCAGAGACTTTCCTGTATGGGAAAGCTGCTCCATTCAGTAGTACAAATGACAAAAAAAAACCCCTCCAATTAAAGTCCAATGTGAGCATCTGATCATTAGCTTATTGAGTAAAAAACTTCAGCACCCTAAGAACACATCCTTGTAAACTGGCAGGCTCCTGCTTGCTGAATCTGGGTGTAGCACAAGAGGAAGACCTTCATCTTCATGGAGATGACTCTGGAACTGCATCAATGTTGCTCAAAGCAGAATTTGGCATGGAAGGTGAACCTCTGTGCTCAGGCGCCATTTCACACTAGCCCATCTTCAGAAGCCACTTCCCTGGGGAGATAGTGGTGGTGTGAAGAGAGGGGCCAACTCCAGGAATCTTAACTTGAAGGTTTCTTCAACTAGGGCTTCTAGCCTATCTGTCACAGGCTGGAACTGTGGCTAGGAACAGGTGACAGGTTTTCTTTCTGGTTTTTTTTTGTTTGTTTGTTTAAAAGCAACTTAAATATCAGCTGACGTGAGAGCCCTGTGTTGCACTGGACAACAGTCAGAGGTCATATGAGAGGCTCTGTAGCGCTGCAAACAAACTTGCATGTGGGCATAGAGCAGGAGCTGCTGTGTCTTGTCTGCAGGAAGCCTTAATGATGCTAGAGCCTTGAAGACTAACAGAGGTCAATGGGAGAGGAACAACAGTGACTACAAAGACTGCCATGGGACCAAAATCATCCCAGTGAAGAGAGGCTTGTTTTGTCTTGATACTGTTTTGAACCTCTTAGCTTTTACCTACTCTCTTTTGGGGCACCTGTGAAATGGGTTTTTCTGCTCAGCAGGTACACATTGAGGCAGAGAACTGCTGTGTTATTTCCTGCCCCTGTGTATGATCTCCACAGGCCTTTCAGCACTCTTACTCTGTCCTTGAAGAACTCTGTATCTGGTACTATTGACTTCCTTCTCCAGGTCATGAGTGAGAACTGATCTTAAAACCCTGTTCTTTCTGTACACTCTGAATAGCTACTGCCCCAAAAAGTCTTCCACACCTCATGCTTTGTGGACATTTGGCTGGCTGTTATTCTAGGAGACAATGTCAAGGTTTGTAAAACCAAGATTCAGCGGCAATGGGATCGCTTCCTATGTGGCTTCATGTCACCAGCATGAGCAGAGTCACACCATCATCCCTATTAGGAATGGGGCCCACTAGCTGCAAATGAGGTTGCCCCATTGCCTTGGCTGGGGTTGTCATTTTGGATGCAGCAGACTCATGAGCATTAGCAACATTTGATGAGCAGCCTTAGAAGAGATAATATTAAAAATACCGTGGTTGATCTCTACTTATTCTTTGGCTTGTAGCATTGAAATAAGGGTGGCAGTAGTGGGAAGATTGCAAATGTGCAAAATGTTGCAATGTAGACCAAATGTGAGTGAATTCATCCTGTGTTACCTTTAGCTAGACAGCCATGCTTCACAGGTGGCAAGATGTTTGAACCACAGGCCTCTACTGGAAAGCTCTTTCTCAAACAATATTTATTTGAGATCCCACTGCTCTGACCTGTGGTTCTCAGTCTTTCCATCTTTCTTTCTCCTAGATGAGTTGGGCATTTGTCCAAAAGGTGTCACCTCCAATGTGTTCCGCTTTAACGTGTCCTCGGCAGAGAAGAACAGCACCAACTTGTTCCGGGCTGAGTTTCGGGTGCTGCGTGTGCCCAACCTGAGTTCCAAACGCAGTGAGCAGCGCATTGAGCTCTTCCAGGTGAGTATCCTTCTCACCTTCCCCTGTGCCTGAGCCCAGAATAGCTTGGCTCCTTAACGGTTGCCTCAGTTGATATGTGCAGGGCTACAGAAGAGAGAAGAAGCCCCATGCTGTACTCCAGGTTTCTTCGGCATACGCAGTGATACAGTCACCTTTCTTTCCTTTTACAGTATGGCGCTGTCCTTTCCCCGCTCACATTGGTTGGCTGCGCTGGGCACCCTGGCATGGTGCCCACTGCAGCTCTGATGCACTGACAAGGGGGTTGGAAGGGGAGCCCCTCACCAGTGGAGCAGCCCTGGCCCTTCTGTCACATCTGCATGCCTAGGTCCCTTGGCAGTTTAGTTCCTTTGACTGTTCCAGTACAGTTGGTGCTAATCCAAGGGGTGGAGCTCTCTGTCTTGTCACTGATTTACTGGAAAAATAATGCTTGCTTTCAACATTCCCTTCAGCAGCAGCTCCTCAGGGGCACAGTTCATGGCACCGTTAATTCAGGTACTTATCTGGAGTTTGGTTTGAACCCATGGACTCCCCTGGCAGAATAAGGTCTGGTTCAGGTTTGGAAGTAGTCTTAGGCTGGGCTGGACCACCCAGCTAATGGTACGGTTTAGCATCCAGGCGGCACATTCCCACAGGCTGGTGTCTGTCCACTTTGCAGTAAGAGTGCAGCTAAAATTGCCCTGTGGCTGGTACCTCTTGAGGACTTCCTGGAATTCAGTTTTAAAGGTCAGAGCAATTCTCCACCAGGTGACACAACTGACAAGGAGGCAATCCCATAGCTTCTCCATAGGTTCAGTGCTCTGTGGAGTGAACCTGGGGTCCTGCAGGAAGAACACCTTGCACAGGCTGTGGCTGTTATCTGGAAACGGGAAGAGATGTCTGAGCAGGGGGAGAGGTCTCCAAACCTGATCAGCCCTGGTGTGTTTTGATAGAAGTTGAAGAGTGTAGGACACATGAAAATGCCACAGTGTAGGACTCAATAGGCTTGCGTGGGCAAGGAACCTGTGGCAAGATGCTCTGTTGCCCACTGCTGGTTCTACTCTGAAATCCAGACCCACATCCCACAGGTGTATACAGAAACACCACCACCCATTCGATCAATTGCTGTGGGCTTCTGCCTCTGGATATGTGCCCCAAAACAAGGATGAATTGAGAGAGGCGGGCTGCTTAGGACACAGAAATAAGCATTGTGTAGATCTCGAGTTCAGGTTGTGAAGTATGTCCTTCTCACCTGTGCCAGGGTATTCCTGGTGTCTCACTTGCCAGGACCAAACTTCTGAATTAGTTTTTAGCGAGCTGTGGAAGAAAAAAGACCCAAGGCTATCCCTTCCTTATGCGTGGCACTGGCTGATTCTCTCTACCACTCCTTCTAACGCAGATCCTTCAGCCGGATGAGCACATAGCAAAGCAGCGCTACCTCAGTGGCAGGAATGTGCAGACACGGGGCTCCCCTGAGTGGCTGTCCTTCGATGTCACCGAGACTGTGCGTGAGTGGCTTCTGCACAGAGGTAGGGGTCTTAGCTGGACTTGGTGTCAAGGCATCCATAGAAATGTGGATCAATGTTGACAGGAGTGTCTCTCTGCTCCCCTTTTTGCAGGAGCTTGGCTCACATAGAGGACAGCTTCTTTCAGTCTGAGAACAAGCCTTCCTCCAGAGAGCTGCCTCAGTGCGTGGCATTTGCTGGATTCCTAGCCCTGTCCTGGAGTCCCCACTGTGTAGCTCTGTGGGCTGAGTCAGAATCATAGAATCATAGAATGCTTTGGGTTGGAAGGGACTTTTAGAGGTCATCTGACCCAATCCCCCTGCAGTGAGCAGGGACATCTTTAACTAGATCAGGTTGCTCAGAGCCCCATCCAACCTGACCTTGAAATGTTTCTAGGGATGGGGCCTCCACTACCTCTCTGGGTAACAATGAATGAGGATTCATCCTCTGGAGGAGGAAATTGTTTTCACTGAGAGATGCTGGAACTTCTTTTGCTTCTTCGATTACAAGCAGGGGTTCCCTCTGCTTGTCTAAACTATAATCTGTAATACATAGAAAATGAGGATTGCTCTCGTTTAATTTTCATGTGGACTAGAGCAAATCTGGTAGGGAAAAAGCAGCAAGGATCCTAGTTTCTCTAGCTTTTACAGCTTGGCAGGTATAAAGGTGAGGAAATACCAGAGGCTGACACACCTAGACAGATGGAGGCTTTAGCACTGCAGAGAACATAGCTCTGCCACCGCTGGGCAGCCCAACAGATAGTTATGGGGCAGCTCCCAGCATGAACACTGACCCCATTCACAGCTGGAGCATAGGCACCGTGACTCACAGCTGGATTGGCCTCACAGATAGAAGCTAGGTGCCACTGAAAACTGGAATGCAGGTACTGGCAAGCAGCCGCTCCCTGGAAGGGTAAGCTGTGAGCTTGTAGGCTCCTCCTTTTTCAAGCAATTTAAGTTGTGTCCTGATGGCTGGAGTTGAGGGCTGGAACTGCAGCGAGCTCTGGGCAGGCACAGTAGCTGACAAGACCACAGAGTATACAGTGCTTAGGAGAAAAGGTGCTAGGCACCTTGTCAGTGCCCCGGGGAGCCAGATGTTTTAATTCATGACACAACATAAAAAAGGAGCTTTCATAAGAGTCTTATGTTCCCTTAGTCAGGCCCACACAGCACGACTGGTCCAGGAAGTTATTATGAAAATAGACTTGCCTCTGGAAAGTCTGTGTGACTTAGACCACTAGCAGTTCAACAAAACAGGAGGTTGCAGCTGCTGAGAAAAATGCTCCCAGTGAAATTACTTGTCTATATCCAACTCGCTCCTTTTCAGATCTCTCCTTCAGATACTAAACAGAAGCCAGATAGCAGACAGGTACTGAGGATGGCAAAACTGATTTAACACAGACACTGCAAGCCAGCTCTTCAAAATACTTGTTTTGCAGTGGAGCTCCTTGAAGCTCACAAATGCTTTTGGATGCTGAATAGCCTAAGAACTGTAACCAGGAGCACCCTGCTCACCTATCCAGGAAGCGCCCTTTAGCAAGAGCAAAGCTTTTGGCACAGGTGAAGCCGCAAGACTCTGCTTCCCATTCTCCTTTCCAAGGAAGCTTCTGTTCCCCAACTCATATAGCATCCCTGACTTTGAGACCGACCCACAGTCTAGGAGCTACCAAAGTACATGTCCTCAGTGAAACTTCCCTGCACCAGGAGCTGCCCCAGCTAAGGAAGACTGTTTCTCACAGAGTCATCTCCTTCTTTGCAGAGTCCAACCTTGGCCTGGAAATTAGCATACACTGTCCTTGCCATACTTTTCAGCCCAACGGAGACATCTTGGAGAATTTGCACGAGGTCTTGGAGATCAAGTTCAAAGGTGATAAAGCGCTGGGTTAGGGGAGGCTGTTGGGGAAGGGAAAGCCTGGAGTATCTAAAGAAAAAACAAGGTCTTGCTTTGCATATTTGAGTATTTTACGTTGCATAACGTTTGTCTTAAAGCATACACATCTGGGTTTGCATGTTGATTATATGGGTATATTCACTTTGTACATAGGTTAGAAATGGGAGAAAGAAAGTGCAGGCCGGGTGGGTTTGCACGAGTGTCTGTAGAAAGGAATAATTTTGTATTTCAATGTCTTTCTGGGAAGTTCAGCCTGATGCCTTCTCAGATTTCCACAGAGGCTCTGCTTTCCAGTTTAGGGTGACTGAAACACAAGGAAGTCAGGCATCCTGTGTGAGGTGGCCCAGAGAGTCAGTGGCTTGGCTGGCCTAAGAACTAGGAACCTCCTGGCTTGCAGCCCTGGGCTGCAGCCACTGGCCCCCACAGGCTCAATTTCTGAGGCTGTTCTGCAGAGTGCCAATGATCTGACATCTTCTTTAAACCATTCATCTTCCTGCCTGTCCTGGGACAGAAGCCAGGAGTCAGTGGGATGGATTAATGGCCCCACCAGCAGTTTGCAAATGGTAAAACAGGTGGCCCGTAAGCCTCTATTGAAGGACTGCAGCAGTCAGATTCACCAGGAGTAAAGGGGTCCCTGTGAGGGAAGAAGTCCCAGAGTAAGTGGACATGGTGCCTGAATCTGTTTCACCCTAGCTCAAGGACAGGCATGAGAGTGTTAAATGCACTGAAAAGGCTTGTTGCACCCTCCACTTCCACACTGACTTCTTTGTGGATCCTGTTTTTCTCTGAAGGCATTGACAGTGAGGATGACTACGGCCGTGGGGACTTGGGGCGCCTGAAGAAGCAGAAAGACTTGCATAACCCCCACCTCATCTTGATGATGTTACCCCCACATCGGCTGGAGAGCCCAGTGTTGGGAGGCCAGAGAAAGAAACGGGCCCTGGATACCAACTACTGTTTCCGGTAAGTGAGAATCCTGCATGGAGTGAGGTGGGCAAGCCTGGCAAGACTCCATGCCAGGGGGAAAGGCAGAGACTTCCAAAGGGGTTGTGGGTCACCATGGTGCCACAGAGGCCACATGCGGAGCACAGCTCAGCCAGCTGCTCCTCATGGTGTCCAAGAAGGGGACACTGGCCAGCTCAGCAGAGTCACTTTGTGCTTCTGGCTGAGCTGCTGGCTAGAGGGAGACTTGCAAGTGGCTTCCTGGAGCACAGCCTGGGCAAGGACCCGTGGCAGCCCCCTGCTAGCTCCAGGTGCCAGAGAGCAGCTGGGTGTTGCTGTGGGCGAGCGGGGTGCTGTCTCTCTGGGCCAGCAGCCAAGCTGCCTGCTGGCGGGCATGAGCAGTGCCAGGCTGCTGAGCTGCCCGCCACTGCTCGCCTCTGCTGCTCCTCTGCACTTGGCGTAGGCAAACACTGTGCCCCACTGGGCACTGCTAGTACTAGTCCTTCTGTTCAGGAAGCTGTGTCACGCACTCATATGTAAGGCCCCTCTTTAGATTCACTGTGTTTCGATACTCTGTTTCAGGAACCTGGAGGAGAACTGCTGTGTGCGTCCTCTGTACATCGACTTCCGACAGGACCTTGGCTGGAAATGGGTCCACGAGCCTAAGGGCTACTTTGCTAACTTTTGTTCGGGCCCTTGTCCGTACCTCCGCAGCGCAGACACCACTCACAGCACGGTACATCCAGCATATTATCCTGTCAGGCCTTGTGGCTGTGACTCCCCCTTCCTCCCTAAGTCTGATCATATCTGGTTTCTTCAAAGCAGCAGCAGCAGTTCAGATCAATACTTGTAAAAGACTGTCCAAGGAAACTGCAGAAAAGAGTCTAGGTGGTTCAGCAGGGAAAATGTGCTTCCTTTGGAGTCAATACTGAATCCATGCTTCCAGCCAAATGTTGAGGAGGAGGAGGAAGGATGCTGTCTCTTGGATAAGATGTGAAACAGCAGGACTGATGGGTTTAGGGAACTTACTTGGTAATGGCCAGAGTATTAACTGAATTGTTCACATCACGCATCAATTCTGGTAATTATCTTCTGCCTAAATTTCTCCTGCAGTTTGCACTGGACAGAGGATTTTTCTACACTCTGTGCCAGGTTGTCATGCAAGACTGTTGTGCCATGGCACACAGCTGCCGTCTGCTACCACAGGGGCAGCTGTAGCCCAAAAGTGAAGGGAAATCCGTGTCCATGTCCAGAAGTGAACACAGCCATACAGTAAGCTCTCCTTTCTGTACAGGCATCCTTTCCAGCTGTGTAAATCCCACGTAACCTATGGCAGGGAGGAACCTACTAGGCAGTAAAATTCAGGAGTAAAAACTGGCAGAAAGCAAATGTGTTTAGGTAACTTACGCATAACGTCTGTTTAACATGAGTACACTAGGCAGTCTTTGGGAAGAATACCACCTGAGCCTGGCTACTGTCTGAAGTGGAAGAAAATAAAAAGCAATAGAAAAGCACAGGCATGGGAGAACTACCAAGGGGAGAAGACAGACAAAGGAGCAGGAATTCCATCGCTGAAGCAAGAAAGGCCAGAGGAAAATCCTGTGCTTCTGTCCACAGCAAAGGCGGCAATCCAGACAATGCAACAGCTCACTAGCAACTTAGCTTCAGGTTTCACTAAAAAAAGTTACTGGAAAAAGCAGATTCGGCTGAAGAACAGATAACTAGATAAAGATGATATTGCAGAAAAGATGCTAACATTTTCTTGACGGCTTGACAGTCTGCACAGCAGCAAGGCTTGCTGAAGCTGAAGGACTAATATCAGTGGGAACAGTCAATCTATGGGAATGAAGGAGTGAACAGATGCTGGGCATTAAGCGCAAGACAAGGCAAGGGAATGAACAGCTTTGAAAGGGTAATGGGCATGTAGCTTTACCATCTGGTTGTCCTGAGAAGCTCTCTAGTAGATAACTGGACTGAATCAGTGTGAGAGAAAGGAGATTTTAGAATGGTTCCTAATGTTCTTTTCTTGAGCAAGAAAGGAAACGATCAAGTGTTAAGGTCAGCCTGAGTGATACAAGAAACCTTTAGAACAATATAACTGCTGACAGCTTGCCAGCACCACCTAGGAAAAACATGGTGAAAAGAAGATTTCTCACCAGTCTGTTTAACCTGCTGTCTCTGTTGCGACCCCAGAGCACGTGGTACCCCTGTGGTACAGCCAGGAATACTTTGCTCAGTATCCCAGAGAGCTTCTACCAGAACAACTGCGATTACATGGATCTGGATGATAGAACAGGATGTTTCCTTAGCACCTCTCATCCCCAAAGACTGTAAAGTAGTTAAAAGACAATGTGCCAGATCCTGTCGTTTATACCAGACAAGCACTAATGAGACTACAGTAGTGCAGGTGAGATCATGTTTTGGCCCCACAACTCAAGAAGTTGCTTACCACTGAGAAGTGGCCACCTCTGGCAAGAAACATGGCAACTGTGCTGTAGTGGTTACATGGCTGAAGCGTACAGTCATCTGTGGGCTGGGGCCAGCTGGGAGGAGGAATCCAGTGGGGTCCCACAGGACACTCTCCTGGCTCCAGCATTATAATGTAATGACTTGGAGGATGGAGCGGAGGGAGGAAGCATCAGACAGTTCAAAGCTGGGAGGGAATTGTGGATACTCAAGAGGATTGGCATCCGTGCAGTGCTATCTAGAGATGTTGGTTGAAATAAGCAGCACTGATGTTCTTTCTTCTGGTTTCTTTAATGGAACCCAAGACAGTATGGCCCCAGGCTGGTTACACCCAGCCTTGTGAAAAGCAAAAATTGTGACACTATCCACCATACCAAATAAGAGATGAAAGGAGACAACTACTTACACTCCTTCAACCCTTAGGCATCAGCCACAGAGCAAGGCTACTACAATTAAAAAAAAAAAAAAAAAGTCTTAAGAGTCAGGCTGGGGGAGGTGAGACCCTTTAGAAGCAGGCCATGATCAGGAAGTGGCAGGGGAGTCTTACTCACCTCAGGGAAATACTCGCTGATGAGCATAGTCCAAACACCTAGAGACCTGTTGGCTTTGCAGTCCCTTCCTGTCCTCAACCAACTTAAACATATTCCTGACTTTGTCACCACATTTACTTTGTTTCTGCAGGTGCTGGGCTTATACAACACGCTGAACCCTGAGGCATCCGCTTCGCCCTGCTGTGTCCCCCAGGACCTGGAGCCGCTCACTATCTTGTACTATGTCGGGAGGACCCCCAAAGTGGAGCAGCTCTCCAACATGGTGGTGAAATCCTGCAAGTGCAGCTGAAAGGCACCCTGGCCCGCCCAAAGCCAAGACAGAAACTGTCAGCACCCACTCTCCTGCTCCCAGGCTAACACAAAAGGAACTGGGGGTCAGAGACTACGCATGCTGAGGGCCGAGTGCCAAACCCTGTGGCTTAGGGTCTGGCAGCCCTTGGGGATCTCTTCTGGAACATTTCTTGGTCTTGTTGGCAGTGTCATGTTCCTTCTGGGAGTTACTCTGGTGACACGAAGGCCACACTCTCCAAAATGGCTGGACAGTTGGTGCGGAAGAGAAGGACAGGGTGGAGGAACTGCTGTGTATTTGAATGCTGGGTGGTTGAGCTGGGAAAGCGAGGGAATGAGAAAGAGCAGGTGAAAGGGGGAGTGGAAATGGGGCGATGTTTTCTATTCTAGCATTAGCTATCTTAGGACCTCAGCCCTCCCCACTGGCCTGAAGAATTAAAGGTTTCTCCTGTAGGAGGAAACCCTGAAATTTTCTTTAGAGAAAGAAAATGCACCAAGAAGGGAAGCTGCTGAGAGAAGAAATGCTCAAAGATACTCTTAGGCTTTTGTTCCTCACAGCTGTGATCCAGGAGTCCTGCAACTGAAACTCTGTGTCTGCCAAACCTGTTAAGTTGGCAGATCCTGGCTATTGGTTTCTACATGCAAACTGCAAGGCTCCCAGCCAGCCTGCTGAGGGTGGGCAAATACAAGGAAAGAGGGTGCTGAGTCCATTTTTAGAGGGACTGATGTGTCCATTCAGCTCTTTTCCCTTCCTGGAGTTTCTGAGAGGTGGTTTCTGGGTCAGGGCAGGAGTAATGTCTGTGGGTACCTGAATATTGGGCCCATTAATTCGTGAGCTGATACACCCTGAGGACCTCTTGTCTGTTGTGGTTTGTGAGATGCTTTGGGGTGTTCTGCATCTGTTCTGCACAATGACCTGAACATGGCCCAGGCCTCACCTGCCAAGACTTAAAAAATAGTAATCTCAAAAACATTGTAAAAAAAATAAATACTTTGGGGGGGAGATGCTCTTTTTTTTCACAAGCAAGTTGTTTGTTGGAGGGTTAGATGGTTTGCTGTTTTCAAACTGTTACTGCTGTGACATACTCAGTCACTCCAAAATGTCTCTTCGAAGGAACAGACAGAATTTAGGTCAGCCAGTGAGCCCCAGAATGGAAATTCCTTGGTACCCTCAAACTGTTCCTGGTGTATGTGTCCCCTGTTCCACCCTAGTCTTTCAGACATGTACATCACCTCTGGCATCTGCTTTTGACAGATTTGTGTAGAGCTCCCCTCAAATGTAAAACACTTCCAACAATACTGTTTAAATAACCAGGGCAAGGCAGTTGCCACAGCTGACAAATGTCCTATGTCCTTTTGAATATATATGGTCTGCCAGTACAGACTTGTACATACAGGTGAATAACACACCCCTCCTCCTGATTTACCATGAACATTGCAGATGCTCATAAAAAGCTCAGAGATGTTGCCAAGACAAGAAATTGATGTACTCTTTTAAAGTATGGGCTTTTTCAGCCATAGATACTCCCAAAGGTAAAAATCTCCAGTGCTTGCATGCCACATGAGACTCAGAGGCTGCCTCACTGACTCTCCAAACCACAACTACTTAAAGTCATGTTCTAGAGACCACAGAGGTTCCTCCCTGTCCCCTCCCAATTCCTGGTCCCCAGCAACTGAGTGTAAAATGACACCTAGCTGGTTAATTGCTTGTGGCCAGGGCTCTCCATGGTCAGCTCAGAATTCAGCTCTTCCATCAAGCCCTTCACAATAGTGGCTGCTTCCATATACCTCATGGGAGCCTGCCGTAACATGTAATCTCAAACATCTTAATAAACTGTAAACCCTCCCTGCACCATCACCAGCTGGCTAGAGGTTAGCAAGGGTGGGTCAGTGGAGGGAGCCTGCCAACCTGTGTGACATTTTGGCATGGGCACACATGCTCTGATAGAGGCACTCCCTAGTGCTTAGCTTTAATCCCTTTCATCGCTCTGGGGCTCCTTGACCTCTCATCGGTGTGATGATGAAAGGTGCAGCTGTGATCGGTCCTGCAGCACTTCTGTATTACTGTGCCCTGTACAGTTCTGATGCCCACGCTTCCCCCCTGCCTGCCCAAGGAGGGAGCAAATAAATGCATTATGACTACACTACTACACTGATAGACAGGCCAGAAATTTAGTGGCTGCCATGGGGGGTGGGGGGAAATCCAGATGCCAATTGGCGTAGGAATTCTCTCTAATCTCCTTTTAGCAGCAGCCCCTGGGGAGGTTTTGGGTTACAAGCTGCAGTCTGTTCTTTGGTCATTGTTCCTCCTGAGCCCTGGGCTGGCTCTGCTGCCCATCCAATTGAAGGGCTTCCTCGCTAGTAAAGGGGGAAAAAAAAAAACAAGGAGGGGGAGCTGCAAAGAGCTGAGCTAGAACACTTGCACAGCTGACAGTCTCCTACGTGGCACTTGGAGCACGTCAGAACCACCCACGGATTAACCCTGGCAAGACCCTTGAGGTGGGTCTGTCTTACTAGCCCTTGTTCACTGCTGCTCCTCAGTGGCAGGGAGGGGTGGCAGAAGGACCAAGCCATTTGCCTCCTTGGAAAGGAGGCAAAATGGCAATGGAAAATCAGGGGAGAAGACTCTTGGGGTGTGCAACCAGTAAGGACACAGGTAACTATATAGGTACAGTAATCCTTGAAGTCAAACACACAGATTTCAGTTACTGCTGCTCTGTCCAGCATTCCGTTTCCCTAGCAACATTTGAGAATTAGATTTGTGAGACAGGATCTGAATTCATTTTCTTAAAATTAAAATAGCTTTTCTAGGACTGTTTTAGCTATAATTCAGCCACAAACTATACTATCTACGCGGGGTTAATAACAGATTGAATACACTCCTGGGCGCAGGCTTACCAAAACGTTTCAGGACACTTCTGTGAGAAGGCAGAGGGCAGTTCTCTATATGCTCTGTTACTAGCTGGCAAATTGAGGAAGACAATGGGAAAGAAAAAGTGAGATCTTCACTGCCAACACTGAATACAGCTCCCAACAGTTCCCTTTTGTTGTTTGCAGGAACAAACAAAAGCTGATGAAAACAATCCCAGCACACTTTCTGTCTAACAAAGATCAATGGTTAGAAAGAGTGAAAAAACCCTATTCTGCTCTGCCATGAGGCAGATCCTACACAAATTATCAAATGACCATCTGTGTAGTCCCTCTATATACTCCATTATAGCATGCAAGAGGCCTACACCTGAACTTGGAACACCTTGTGTGTATGCTGTAGTGCATTGTAGAGCTCTGCAAGGAACACTGCTTCAGCAAATACAGGAATGTACACTGATATTTCAGCAAAGAATAGTCTTCACAGACTAAATGAGTCTTCGTTCCCTGGTCTTTGGGTTGGACAGTCTCTAGCTATCTCACTGCACTTACAAAAAGCAGTAGCACATCCTTGTTACCACGGTGTGAACTGGGATATGCTGCTTTGTGTTTCACCTTTCCATAACCAACAGACATCAATACACAGAGTAAACAAGATGGCCCGTGTCTGAAAGTAATAGAAGATACAAAAGACAAACATACCTGTCCACTCCTCTGGCAACATCATAGATTTGTTCTGCTCTGTCCTGTGATGTCTCACTTCTCTCTTTGTTGTAGCTACCAAATTTCCATTCTCTCAGTTCACAGAACCTTTTCTTATCTTTCTACACTGCTCTCAAGCTTTCCTTACCTATGACTAGAGTGTCCTCATCAGAGCAGAAATACAGGAGGTCTCCAGGCTCAGATTACTTTGTAAATGAAATCACTGCCGCCATGCCATGACAGATCCATTGCAACGTCTTATGAGGCAGATGTCTTCAATATGGTCCAGGGTCCAATGCAAGGCAGGTTCAGTACCACAGGATGAGCAGGATGCAGCTCTAGGGCCAGCTCCATTGTGCAGAAAAGGTTTCTTACCCACTACATTTTTTTCTAGTGGCATGCAAAACATCAACTCTATAGTACTGGGTTGCCTTTTCTTAATAGGTGATTGCAAGGCAATGAAATCAATCAAGAAAATACAGTTTTCAATACATATGGAGCCAGCAGTGTGATATCTACACACCTGCAAAACTATACTGATTTCTGGTAGTGCAAAATAATACATGGTTGTATGGGCTGCCTGTAACCTATGTTAATTGTTGTTTAGAGTAACTGCAGCAATTTGGATACAGTGCAAGGAGGAAAACATGCCTTCTAATTCTTTAAAAATAACATCTATTAATTTTTTTTTACATTCAAAATAACTAGAATATATTGGTCAAAAGCTGTATAAAATTAATAACTAACATGCATACTTTGATGTTTAGTAAAAGAATATCTGGACTTTCAGGTCTCTGCTTTACAAATACTTTCTTTTGTATACACGGAAGTCATTTAAGCCCTGGTTCATTTTTGATGCAGCTCCAGAAGTGACAGATGGAAGCAACTAAGCTCAGTGTCTTTTGTCCTATCTTGAAGAGAGGCTTCAGATGCCCTGTACAAATGCAAGATCCTTTATCATGCAAGAAGTCAACATAAAAGAGATGAGACAGTTTTACTCACTGAGAAACAGATTGTCTTAGAAATGAATTCAGATACATCAACAAATACAGGAAATGAAAATTGCTGATTAATGATTAATGGTTGTCATTCTCTTACTTCTCTAAATGACAGTAATGCATCTGAGATGCCACTTATGCCCATAATTTCAGAAAGAATATGGTACAGTACTTTGGATGTCACCATATGTTTCCAGGAAATACTAATTTCAAAGATTACAAACCTCAGTTACTAGGCTGCTTTTAGAACATCCTTATCTAGGGCTAGGTTGCATAGGGAAGATGGCAGAGATGGTCTGAAGCCATTCAACCAAGCAGCTAGGCCTCTTCCAGTACTGGGCTGTGATTTAATGGAAAACACACTTAGGGATAAGGACCTTTATATCTAGTACAGAATAGAGGTTTCTTTATAGCTTTGGTTTGTGGCAAAAAAACCCCACACATTATTGTTTCCCACATCCTGCAGCCTTAGTGAACAGCTTTCACGCAGAAACTGTCCCCTGTGGTATATGCTGGCACTGTTGAATTACAGGAAGGAATACCAAAGTTTCAAGCGGTATCTTCTGAAGACAAAGATCTATTTCTCCCCCTTTCGGGGCGGGGGGTGGGGGGCAGTAGTGGTCTTTGTGCAGGGTGATATTCTTTGTCTCTCATTCCACTTAGTTGGCTAGGCAAGATGATACCTCATTTCTGTCCAGAGACTGATGCAAGAAAGAATTACATGTAGGGGTTATGCATGTTGTAGAAAGCAAAGGTGATTTCCTTTTCTGGTCTGCCAACACTCAGACATTTCTCACTAGCTGTTTACAGATATTCATTCATCACATACAGAAATCAGCATGAGGCGTTATAATAATATATCATGGCCAGTGCATGTACATCACTTGATGAAAGAAGCCAGCTGGGTCATATCAAACCAGAGATTTCCTGACATTCTTCAGGAAGGATTTCTTTTTTCTCCTGAAGTTATTATCCTCTTCAGGAAGCAGACAAAGCGAAGATTTGCTGTGCAGCCAGGGGCAAATCTTACAGGATTTGTGCAATGCACATAGTGTAACAACTGGGGAATGTCTTGGTAACCATGTTCTGGTTCTTTCTTAAAACAAACATTTATGGTCTTCTGAAGTGCTGAAACCCTCTTGCAGGTAGACTAGATGCTTGGGAGATCTCCGCTGTTTTCAAGGATTTGTAAGAAACTCCACTTGTGGGGGAAAGCAGTAGCAGACAGTCTGACTCGCAAAAAGAATCTCTGGAAGACATCCAGCTTGCAACAAGCTGCCTTGCGTGACACAATTTGACATCTGCCCCCTCAAAGGACACTTGCTACAGAAATCTCTAACTATACTTTAGGATCTGAAGATCTCATTTGGATACTACCATGCTAAATGCTCTATTGTGCTAATCTGAAGAACTGGAAACAAATTAATAGAACAAACAACAAAGAG